CAAAGGGAGTAAACTGAAGAATGAGGGTAAAGCTAACGAAGGAACTGGTTGTTCTCGCGGTTGGGCTGTTAAGACTTCAGCTGTATGTGTGGGTTTAGGAGCGCATTTGAGAAGCAGAAATTTGAAAGTACACTTGGATAATTGTGTGCTTAATCTCAACACTGGGCATTCTTCCACTGTGCACCTGTGTGTGGAGGGTCTGGACAGCTGCTCTTCGTCCTGCGTTCTTTAGATAGTATATAGCAGCTGTCGAACAATGTGGAAATCAGTCTCTGTGCTTCTCTTTAGAATCAGCGGAACCAAGCCAGTTGGAAGTTCCAGCCACAGAAGGTAAAGGGTGGGGTGGTCCCGCATTACAAATCTGAAGTCTTAAAGACTTTTTTATGTATGTATTAATTTATTTAAAGACAGAGTCTTGCTCTGTCACCCAGGCTGGAGTGAGATGGTGTGATCTCTGCTCACTGCAACCTCCACCTCCTGGGCTCAAGCAGTTCTCCTGCCTTAGCCTCCCAAGTTGCTGGGATTACAGGTGTGCACCACCATGCTTGGCTAAGTTTTGTATTTTTAGTAGAAACGGTGTTTCACCATGTTGGGCAGCTGGTCTCAAACACCTGACCTCAAGTGATGTGCTGGCCTTGGCCCCCAAAGTGCTGGGAGGACAGGCGTGAGCCACCTTGCCCGGCCAAGACTTTATCAGGACTAAGGGTTGTATGTTGAAACTGTTTCACTAGGACTGGGTGATGGTTTTGCTCTCTTTCTTCTGGGTGAATGGGATTTGCAGGTTATGCTGTTGAGAGATGAGGCATAGCTGCTTTTGCTTCACTTCCCCAGACGACTCGGTGAATTCTACCTGAAAGTCGGTTGAACGAATGACCGCTACATAACCTAGATAATGGTGTCCTTTAAACGCATACAAGCCGGAAGATGTATGTTACTTTGAAAACATAAGTAACAGAATCTAGAATGTACTGCTCAGGAGACGTCTCTCTGAAGCTGTTTTGCTGTTTGGTGTCTTCTCCTCCTTATTAAACCATATCTTAGTAAATAGCGTGGTATGAATGGATTTATAATCTAGCAGCTTTGCAAAATAATTAACTGGTACCGTTTTGTTTCTATTGATAGAAATAAAAGAGACTGACGGAAGCTCTCAGATCAAGCAAGAACCAGACCCCACGTGGTAGACCTCTTCCCTCCTAGGGTAAATCAGCTTCTGTGTCCGGGACGCCGTGTGGTGTCCATCTGAACCCCCTCCATACGCGTAGCTAATGTGATCTCCCTCCTTAACATAAGATGGTGGCCCCGCCTCCAGGGGATGTGGGAGCCAGGTGGGAGCCTTCCTGGATGGTTAAGCTAGAAGACTCCACAGGGAGATTCTCCTTGGGTCAGTATCTCTCAGTCAAAGATGCAAAAGCACTTTTGCCTTAAAAAGAACGTTCTGTTTCTAATTGGTAGAGTAAACGTTGTCCTCCTCATGGAATCCGCTGAGTCAGAGTCATGAGGCTGCCTTTTTTCCCCTTAGCGATGGTGTTTTCAGTCTGACAGCTGCAGAGCTAATGTTCGTCTTGCAGAGTTCAGTTCCAAGTCCGATCCTGGTATTGCAGATGTCTTAAGTTCACCCAAGTGATCATAGGAGTAGGTTGGGACCAGAAGTCAGGAAGCTTTGACAATGGAATTCTTTTTTTAATGCAGAGACTTCTTGTACTGCAATCTGCCTTACGCTGTCAGCTCATGGACTGACGCTCTCATGTTGCTTTATGAATGCATCTGAACCCAAGCCATTGTTACCGGAACTGGCAGATTAAAGTTGTGATGTTGCTGACTGCGAAGTCCCCGTAATTAGATTAACCTGTTGGCTTCTTTCTTTTCTCTCCTGTTCTAGCTTAAAGTATCAGTGGTTGAGAAGAGCTTTTCGGACCTGTTGCTCCCCCAAGCTGTGTAATATACTTGTATAACAGAAAGACCTTCTATACAAACCTTCTTTTCTACTTTTAGATAGAAATGTCTACTTTTTCAGCAGTTCTGTGAATTGAATTAAAGAGCAGAGTGACTGTGGGTCTGGAATGCCTGGTGTAACTGGGGAATGTATTATCAGGATTTTACAGCAATGCTGGAAAAACGACAGGGAAACGTCAGGGATGAATCCCACCAGATTTTTGTATGTACTCAGCAGAGCCTTCAGTTACGGTGTTTATTTTCCAATCAAGTGGAGATACCCCTCCTGGAACATCTCAGCTTCTGCAGTGAAGAGAAACTCCCGTGATAGTTCCGTTCCTTAGTTTTTCTATTTGAAAAAAAAAAATCATTTAAATGATCCTTTGTTCACGGCTCTCCTTAATGACTGAGTGAACAACTCGTATCTGTATATTTGACTAAACCTTTTCCTAAGCTCTCTCTCATGGTTCCTATGTTTTTTTTTTGTTTTTTTTTTTGTTTTTTATCATAATTAAAAGCAAAACCGTCTGGATCACCTAACAGTCAGAGGTCAGTATCTCAGCGTGTGAATTCTAGATTAAATACAGAGAGAAACTCTTCCACTTTTACTTTTCGTCCAAATAAAATGCATGGTGTACCAGAAGTTGAAGACCGGGGTGAGGATCGGGGCTCGCTCGCCGACACTAAGGCGGCCTCACCATCGCGGGACCTGCTGCAGCGCGGATTCGTAGGAAGGCTGTTCTGGCCCGGAGTCCAGGGCTGGCTGGGCCGGCGTATTTCCTAGTGCTTCTTGTAACCCTGAGGTGCCGGTGCGGGGAGTGAGGAGGGGTCAGGGGGCTCTTGACGCAACCTCTGACGTGCTGCGCCTTCCTAGGAGAGTCTTACACGTGTTGAGATTTCACACACGGTGCGAACTGTAAAATACCAGCTCTACAAGAAGCTAGGCTATGTGACGGCATAGTTTTCAGTAGCTTTATCACAATATTCACGGTGGAGAATTATATGACATGGTAGCAGAAATAGGCATTTTCATGTGTTGCTTCTATTTTACCTCAAATTGTAGATATAGGGTAATCAATAAAATCCATCCATGCCTTTCACACACTAAGGTATTGCTCTCTCGGCTGTTTTCATGGTTCCGTTTTGGGGATAAGCTTGGGGGTGGCTGGGCGTAGGTGGAACACAGACCGAGACCGAGGCTGGCGCTGGGCAGAGCCCGCCGTGCCTCCTGGGGACAGCGCCACTTGCGGTGTTTCTGAGACCACCGCTGTCCATCTCTGAGCTGGGCCAGGGCCCCCACCCTTCTATCTGGGCCGTGCCTGCTGTGGATGCAGAACAGCTCACATGTGGATTTTGGGGCCAGAATTCCCAGCCATCCAGAGCTCGCACAGCAGCCCCTCCCGCCTGAGCCCACGCGCCGGCTCTGGGGCCCCTCTCTTCTCAGCATGGTCCCTGCCTCTGCCGTGCCTGAACCGCATGTGCCAGAAAAGGAAACTGATCTCACGCTTCGCCCGCCCGCTGACCTGGGAGGAGACTGCTTCTCTGATGGCATCTCACAGTTCTCGTAACGTTTCTTTAAAATGTGCGCTGCTCTTGTTGCCCAGGCTGGAGTGCAATGGCGCCATCTCAGCTCACTGCAGCCTCAGCCTCCCAGGTTCAAGTGATGTTTCTGCCTCAGCCTCCCGGGTAGCTGGGACTACAGGCACGCACCGCCATGTCCTGCTAAGTTTTAGCAAAGACGGGGTTTTGCCATGTTGGCCAGGCTGGTCTCCCGACTTCAAGTGATCCGCCTGCCTCAGCCTCCTAAAGTACTGTGGTGACGGCGTTGAGTCACCACGAGGGCATCAGATACTGCATTTCTTTTTTCTTTTCTTTGAGACAGAGACTCACTGTCACCCAGGCTGGAGTGCTGCAGTGCGATCTTGGCTCACTGCAACCTCTGACTCCTTGGTTGAAGCGATTCTCCTGCATCAGCCCCCTGAGTAACTGGGACCATAGGTACGCGCCACCATGCCCAGCTAATTTTTTGCATTTTTAGTAGAGACGGGGTTTCATCATGTTGGCCAGGATGGTCTTGATCTCCTGACCTCGTGATCCGCCCACCGCGGCCTCCCAAAGTGCTGGGATTACAGGCCTGAGCCACTGTGCCCAACCTCAGGCAGCCCATTTCTAAAAGGTGGATAAAGAGTGTGATTCTTCAGAGGGTGGAGGGGAAGTTAAGCTTGCCCAGTAAAATCTTCCTTAGCCCAGGAGTCTGGATTGGAAAAGCAACGTAGTTCAAGTCGGTCTCTTCAGTACATCTAACAAGCTCCTGTTTCTGAAACAACTCCTGATTCCTTGGTCAGGCACGGTGGCTCACGCCTGCAATCCTAGCACTTTGGGAGGCCAAGGCAGATGGATCACTTGAGGTCGGGAGTTCAAGACCAGCCTGGCCAACATGGTGAAATCCCATCTCTACTAAAAATACAAAAATTAGCCAACCATGGTGGTGCATACTTGCAATCCCAGCTACTCGGGAGGCCAAGGTAGGAGAAGTGCTTGAACCCAGGGGACAGAGGCTGCAGGGGGCCAAGATCGTGCCACTGCACTCCAACCTGACTGACAGAGCGAGACCCTGTCTCAAAAAAAACAAACAAAACGTGATTTCATAATAATGAAGGTCAAACATAATTACTTCCCAGGTGAGGCTGTGGGGTGACTGGGAACAAACCCAGACCTGCTTCTGGACAGCCGTTACCGTGAGGACGTTTGTCAGATGAACAGTGAAAGCAAGGAAACGCCTTCCTCCCAGGACCGTGTGAATTAAACCCTGCCCGCTGAGTGCCAAGTGCCAACTCCCATTCCAAGCGCCTTGTCCTTCGTGGGGAGGAAACCTGTCCCTGCAGGGAGATCCTACAGGAAGGGCCAGTGGCATATCTGCTGTCAGGTGTTAGAGCTGGCAGCTGTCATCTGCTTGTGAGAAGGCTTTGCTTTCGCCTGCCCCCCCGCCCCGCCCCCAGGCCAGCAGTGCACATCAGAGTTAGCACAATATATGATGCCTTAATTTTTTGTTTTTTGAGGGGGAGTTTCACTCTCGTAGCCCAGGCTGGAGTGCAATGGCACTATGTCGGCTCACTACAACCTCTGCCTCTTGGGTTCAAGCGATTCTGCTTCCTCAGCCTCCCAAGTAGCTGTAATTACAGCTGTGTACCACCAGACCTGGCTCATTTTTGTATTTTTCATAGATCCCAGCCAAGGAATCGAGTTTCTCCATATTGGTCAGGCTGGTCTCAAACTCCCAACCTCAAGTGATCCTCCCACCTCGGCCTCCCAAAGTGTTGGGATTACAGATGTGAGTCACCATGCCTGGCTGCCTTAATTTTTTAATTGGTTGAAGTCATCTGACATATAAAATGAGGTCTGCGAGATTGTTCTGGAACTATCGATGAGGATGTCATTGCCCCAGTCTTATTCAGAGGCTTGAGGATGCAGCTTGGACCCGGGTCTGTGTACCCTAGAACCGGGTGCTCACAGAGAGCCAGTCGCCAGTTCATTCTGAAGTAGGCTGGTTTTTCTGAGCCTCCTCCTGGCCTCCCCCTGGCTTCTTTCCTCCAGAGACCAAAAGTTCCACCTGAGAGGGAGATGGAGTGCCCAGGCCTTTCTATTTTCCACATCACACCCTAAGCTCTGGTCTCTAAATTCAAGGCACCTGGCAAGCTTAACCACTGGGGGCAGATACTTGTCACACACCAAGGTGGCATCTTCTGGAAGGTCACTCACTGCCCAGTGACCACTTCCGTCTTCTGGAAGGTCACTGTTCATCTTCCTAAACGGAAGCCCCAGTTTCTGGACTTGGGTGCCTTGTGAGGATCTGATGTTCTCAGAAAGTGCCTCAGTTTCCCTATGATGGGGAAGAGGAAGGGGGGTGGATTTTAGGAATGGAGGTGACCTGGAGGGCGTTGTCTTTAGACCCGCGAGACCAGGGGCGTGTCCGCAAACAGGGCTGTGGGTCCTTTACTCTCAAAAGCATCACTTCGCCTGCCTGGAGTGCAGCTCCTGCCTGGATCCACGGTGGGAAGGGAGCTCTGGCTCTCTGCACTTCACCCGCAGCTGCCCACTCTCCTGACTCACAGGGCAGACTGGGGGCATTTGCAGCCAGTTGTAGAAATCACAGGTCCCTAGGGGTCTGGTGGCCCATCAATGACAAAGGGCAGGTGGACCTGCTCTGGCTGCACCCGAGGGGCCTTCTCACCCTGGGAACTGGGCTAAAAACCAAGCCCAGGCTGTGGCCCATGCTTCCCCTCAGCCGCCTCTCGGTCCCTCCTTACCTGCCCCCCACCCCCACCACACCTTAATTTTTTTTTTCTTTTTTGAGATGGAGTCTTGCACCATTGCCCAGGCTGGACTGCAGTGGTGCAATCTCAGCTCACTGCAACTTCTGCCTCCCAGATTCAAACGATTCTTCTGCCTTAGCCTCCCAAGTAGCTGGGATTACAGATGCCTACCACCGTGCCCAGCTAATTTTTTGTATTTTTAGAAGAGACGGGGTTTCATCATATTGGCCAGGCTGGTCTCGAACTTCCGACCTCATGTTTGCCCACCTCAGCCTCCCAAAGTTTTAGGATTACAGGCTTGAGCCACCACATCTGGCCCTTTTTTTTTTTGATGGAGTCTTGCTCTGTTGCCCAGGCTGGAGTTCAGTGGTGTAGTCTCAGCTCACTGCAACCTCCGTCTCCCAGGTTCAAGCCACTCTCCTGCCTCCTCAGCCTCCCAATACTGGGATTACAGGTGTCCACTACCATGCCTGGCTAATGTTTTTTTTTTTAAAAAACAGGGTTTTTCCATGTCATGTAGGCTGGTCTTGAATTCCTGACCTCAAGTGATCTACCCGCCTTGGCCTCCCAAAGTGCCAGGATTATAGTGATGAGTCACCGCGCCTGGCACCTCACCTTAATTTTGGGAAAGTTCAGGTAAGCCAGCTCTGAAAGCGCCTGTGAGGCAAGCCCAGCTGGGGAAGGTGTTTCCTGTCTGACTTCCTCCCCAGAAGCAAGAGTGGGGCCTGCTGTGGCATCCACTTCCTGCGGGACCTCAAGGCTGCTCTCACCTCAGGCTACACAAAGCAGTAAAATCCCCCCAGGAGGACCCCTTGAGAGGTTTGAGGGTGATTCAGCAGACACAGGCAGGGCCAGCGACAGAGCAGAGGGCCAACCTCCCAGAGCCCCAAATGCCACAGCTGAGAAGGTCTAGCTGCATCTGAAGGACCTGCTGAACTCCCGCCCCGATTGACACTAAAACTATCCCCTCCTGTATGGTGCCCACACCCTCCAGGGAAAACCCCTGGATAAAAGGCAGTCACGGTGGCTCATGCCTGTGATCCCAGCACTTTGGGAGGCCGAGGCAGGTGGATCACTTGAGGTCAGGAGTTCAAGACCAGCCTGACCAACATGGTGAAACCCAGTCTCTACTAAAAATACAAAAATTAGCTGGGCTTGGTGGCGTGGGCCTTTAGTCCCAGATACTCACGAGACTAAGACAGGAGAATCACTTGAACCCAGGAGGCGGAGGTTGCAGTGAACCGAGATGGAGCCACTGCACTCCAGCCATGGCAGAGTAAACGCCATCTCAAAACAACAACAACAACAACAAAAAAGGCAGTCACTGCAGGTCTCCAAAATGACAAGGCTGCAGCAGGGGACCCGGGGTGCGGGTCCATGAAGCCGTGGCAAGTGTTAACACCACAGCCTCAAGTTCCTTTTGCTGGCCTGCAGGGGTGAGCTTCAGCCCCACGGAGGTGAGATGAGTCCCCGAGGTGCCTCTGCCCCTGTGTGAGCCCTCACGGAGAATGCCACGTCTACAGGTCCTGCCCATCTTCGAGCAGCCCGCCCCCACCGCCAGGCCTGTGTGACTTAGGGACCGTCCCAGCTTTCCCCACGGAAGTGACTTGGGGGCCTGGCCCCTGGCGAGGGACTGCAGCACTGCTGATGGCACTGCACTTCTCAGGGCTCAGGAGATGTGTAAACAGCCACTCCAGACCTGTGACTCTGCCTCTTAGGGTGTGATTTTTCTTATTACTGAAATTTATTTTAAGTGTACAGAAATCACCATTGGCCGGGCGTGGTGGCTCACTCCTGTAATCCCAGCACTTTGGGAGGCCGAAGTGGGTGGATCAACAGAGGTCAGTTGTTCGAGACCATCCTGGTCAACATGGTGAAACTCTGTCTCTACTAAATATAAAAAATTAGCCAGGCATGGTGGTGAGAGCCTGTAATCCCAGCTACCCGGGAGGCTGAGGCGGGAGAATTGCTCGAACCCAGGAGGCGCAGGTTGCAATGAACCAAGATCATGCCACTGCACTCCAGCCAGGGTGACAGAGCAAGACACCGTCTCAAAAAAAAGGAAAGAAATCACCTTGCTGGGTGGTAGATGGCATTTGGGCCCCTGAGTACGGAAGTGGGGCTCCTGCCTCTGGGTGGGGCTGGCTTGGAGAGTCCCCATTCCTGTGGTGCATATTTAATGAGGACCCATGTTGTGCCTGGAGCTGGGCCAGAAGCCGCAGTGCAGTGGGGACAGACCCAGCCTGTCCATGGGCCTGGTTACTGTCACCCTAGCTGTGTCAGTGAACGCTTCCAGGCCACCCACACAGCTGCGCCACACCCAGACCATCGGCTCCAGGGACATCATGAAGCTGCCCCACCGTCAGAGCCCCGGGCCGGTGGTCCCGGCGACTTGGGGTGCCTGCTCTCCTTTGTGTGGCCTTTTCCTCATTGAAAGCCCAGTTTAAACAGCAGGAAGCTGCCCTGCCTCCTACCTGGCAGTTCCCCTGCCCTGCACCTTGGAGGCAGCCTGGTGCAGTCTGGATCTGGTGATGGCCGACGATTGCCGCCCTCGAACTTGGCCCCAGTTAATCCTCACGGCAGCCCATGAAGTGGGTACGGTGCTTAGAGCCATTTCACAGATGAAAAGATAGAGGTGGTCAGGCGCGGCGGCTCACACCCCGTAACCCCAGCACTTTGGGAGGCCGAGGTGGGCGGATCACGAAGTCAGGAGATTGAGACCATCCTGACCAACATGGTGAAACCCTGTCTCGACTAAAAATACAAAAGTTAGCTGGGTGTGGGGCATGTGCTGGTAGTCCCAGCTACTCGGAAGGCTGAGGCAGGAGAATTGCTTGAACCCAGGCAGCAGAGTTTGCAGTGAGCCGAGATCACACCACTGCCCTCCAGCCTGGGCAACAGAGCGAGACTCCATCTCAAAAACAAAAAAAGATGGAGGCTCAGGGAGCTTCAGGCACAGGCACAGCTCAGCTGTCAGCCTGCCCGTCTCCCCACCGGGCCTGGGCCTCCATCTGACTCCCCTGAGTTGAATGCTGGGTCCCAAGGCCAAGGGCTGGAGGGCGCTGTGTCAGGGTGAGGGGAGAACAGAATCCCAGGGCTGTGGTTCAGCTGTGTCCTGAGCAAGTCTCCCAAGGCCAGGTCCCTGATTCCCGTCTGCAGAGGCCTCGGGTCCACCCCTGCCAGGCAGAGCCCAGCCTGGGTGATTTGGCTGATTAAAAAAGATGGGTCCCTGGGGAGGCAGCGAGTGACCCACATTTCTTTTGCTTTTTTTGTTTGTTTGTTTTTTGAAGATGGAGTCTCGCTCTGTCACCCAGCTTGGAGTGCAGTGGCATGATCTCGGCTCACTGCAACCTCTGCCTCATGGGTTCAAGTGTTTCTCTTGCCTCAGTCTCCCGAGTAGCTGGGATTACAGGCGCCCACCACCATGCCCAGCTGATTTTCGTATTTTTAGTAGAGACGGGGTTTCTCCATGTTGTCCAGGCTGGTCTTGAATTCCTGACCTCAGGTGATCCACCTGCCTCAGCCTCCTGAAGTGCTGGCATTACAGGAGTGAGCCACCGAGACCGACCTATTTTTTTTTTTTTTTTTGAGATGGAGTCTCACTCACTCTGTCTCCCAGGCTGGAATGCAGTGGCGTGATCTCGGCTCACTGCCACCTCTGCCTCCCAGGTTTAAGCAACTCTTTTGCCTCAGCCTCCTGGGTAGCTGGGGTTACAGATGCCCACCGCCAGGCCTGGCTAATTTTTGTATTTTTAGTAGAGACAGGGTTTCACCATGTTGGCCAGGCTGGAGGGGCCCGACTTTCTGCCTATCGACACCTGCCTGCCAGTGCAGCCTGGGATTGGTCACACAGCGCCAGCGTCACAGGTACCTTGGGTCCCATCCTACTGCCCAAGTCAGGAGGGAGGGCTGGTCCTGTGGGAGGACAACCAGGAGGCCGTCACCCAGGGCCTGCCAAGGGGATGGATCCTGGCTGTCACTCAAGATGAGGCAGCAGGAGAGGCTTAGGTTAGACCTGGGAAAGAACTGTCCTACGGGAAGGCTGATTTGCTCCAATCCTGGGAACTGCTAGATTCCCTTTCCCCACACAGAGGGCACTGTGTGGGCCTGTGCCCTGGCGCCAAGCCCCCTCCTTCCCCATATGGTCCCCCCTGGCCTGGCCTTGGGGATTTCCTGGTTAAGGAAATGGGGAGCTCAGCCCATCTGGTGAAGACCAAGTGGCCTGAGGGTGGGGAAGGTGACATTTGGAAAAAGACCAGGACTGGCAGCTCAGACCCGGAAGCCCCCTGCTCCTTTCCAGCCAGACTTGAGCTGAGAGCCTCCCTCATGAGCCCCCTACTCTCATTCATTCATTCATTCATTCACATTGTTCAAAGGCAAGGCATAGAAGTGCAGTGTGATTAAATCGTGGGCCTGGGTCCAGACTGCTTGAGTTCAATCCCAGTTCTAGCCAGGCTTGATGGCTCCTGCCTGTAATGCCAGCACTTTGGGAGACTGAGACCAGCAGATCACTTGAGGCCAGGAGTTCGAGACCAGCCTGGGCAACATTGTGAAACCCTGTCTCTACAAAAAAATACAAAACTTAGCCGGATGTGGTGGCACAAGCCTGTCATCTCTGGTACTTGGGAGGCCGACACAGAATTGCTTGAACCCGGGAGGCAGAGGTTGCAGCGAGGCAGCATTGCACCGCTACACTCCAGCCTGGGCGACAGAGCGAGACTCCGTCTCAGAACAAAAGCAAATCCCAGTTCTGCGTTTACTAGCTGTGAAAACCTGCTTTTCTCTCTGTTTTCCCCATCTGTGAGGTGGGGAAACTTGTACCTACTACCCGAAAGCCTCATTGTGAGGGGAAGATGTGATGATGGTCAATAGAAAGCCCTTAGAATAGCGTCTGACTCTCTTCGGGGGCCCTTAGAATAGGCAGGGTGGTGGGCGGGGGCCCTTCCTGTTAGCACTCAGGACGTGGGGGAATTTCGGGGGCACTGGTGTTGTTCTAACATCCAGCTGTCTGGTTTCTATTAATTAGGTAAGATATGCAGTATGCTTTTTTCTTCTTCTCTCTCTCTCCCTCGAGATGGAGTATACTCTGCCGCTCAGACTGGAGTGCAATGGTGAGAGCGGCTCACTGCCACCTCCACCTCCTGGATTCAAGCCGTACCACCACGCCCGGCTAATACAGATGTGGTTTCTATACATTTCACAATACAAACATTTTTAGAAATTCTATTTCTGGCTGGGCATAATGGCTCACGCCTTGTAATCCCAGCACAAGCCTCCAGATAAATCATGTCCTCCAGAACATGTGCTCTGTGTCTGCCTTCCTTCCCTCAGCGATGTGTCTGGAAGATTCCACTGTGTCGTCCTGTGGGACAGTTCCTTGTCATTGCAGGTGGATCACGAGGTCAGAAGTTCAAGACCAGCCTGGCCAAGATGGCAAAACACCATCTATTAAGAATACAAAAATTAGTCGTGGGTGGTGGTGGGTGCCTGTAATTTCAGCTACTGAGGAGGCTGAGGCAGGGAATTCCTTGAATCCAGGAGGCAGAGGCTGCAGTGGGCCAAGATCATGCCATTGCACTCTAGCCTGGGTGACAGAGAAAAACTCCATCTCAAAAAAAAAAAAAAAAAAGAAATTCTATTTAAATGTCATATCTGTTATTACTTCCTTCCTTCACTTTTATTTTATCTTACTATTTTTTTAGAGACAGAGTCTTGCTCTGTCACCCAGGCTGGATTCAGTGGCGCCACCTCAGCTCACTGCAACCTCCACCTCCCGGGTTCAAGTGATTCTCCTGCCTTAGCCTCCCATGTAGCTGGGATTACAGGCGCCCACCATCACACCCAGCTAATTTTTGTATTTTTAGTAGAGGTGTGGTTTCACCATGTTGGCCAGGCTGGTCTCAAACTCCTGACCTCAGGTGATCCGCCTGCCTCAGCCTCCCAAAGTGCTGGAATGACAGGTGTGAGCCACTGCTCTGATCTTTTCTTTTTTTTTTTTAAATTAAAAAAATCATTTGGGAGGCCGAGGCGGGTAGATCACGAGGTCAACAGATCGAGACCATCCTGGTCAACATGGTGAAACCCCGTCTCTACTAAAAATTACAAAAAATTAGCTGGGCACGGTGGTGCGTGCGTGTAATCCCAGCTACTCAGGAGGCTGAGGCAGGAGAATTGCCTGAACCCAGGGGGCGGAGGTTGCGGTGAGCCGAGATTGCGCCATTGCACTCCAGTCTGGGTAACAAGAGCTAAACTCCATCTCAAAAAAAAAAAAAAAAAAAAATCATTTGAAAATGTGTTTCATCCTGGCCAGGCACCCTGGCTCACACCTGTAATCCCAGTGTTTTGGGAGGCTGAGCCAGGAGGATCGTTTGAGACTGGAGTTCGAGGCCGGGCTGAGCAACATCTCAAGACCCCCCACTCTACAAAAAGGAAAAAAAGAAAAAAAATTAAATGAAAATAAAAAGTGGAAACAAAATCGTACGTCATCCTGAAAGAAGGCTGTGAGCCTGCTTACAGAGGACATGACAAGGCCAAGCTGAAGCTGTCAACTTCCTGCCTCTGCTCACCCCACACACATGCTGGGCATCCCCTGTCTGCGGAGCGCCTTGTGGGAGCATGACGGGGTCTTGGGAGGCCACAGGAGGAGAGTGGAAGATCACAGCCAGGGGGTGCCTGCAGGACAAGCACCCTGGCCAGGCAGTTTTGCAAGACTGGAAAGACCGCTGGAGCAAGGGAAGGAAGTGCTGAGAACCCACAAAAGGCTTGGCTTGCAACAGGCCCCACCAGAGCCTTCGTCTGCCCTGCCTCGATGTGCCCAGGTGGGCACCACTGTCGGTCTGGCATCTGTGCTGAGCCTTTTTTTTTTTTTTTTTTTTCCTGAGACAAAGTTTCATTCTGTTGCCTAGGCTGGAGTGCAGTGCTGTGATCTCAGCTCACTGCAACCTCAACCTCTCTGTTTCAAGTGATTCTCTTGTCTCAGCCTCCCAAGTAGTTGGGATTACAGGTGCCTACCACCACGCCTGGCTAATTTTTGTATTTTCAGTAGAGATGGGGTTTTACCATGTTGGGCAGGCTGGTCTTGAACTCCTGACCTCAGATGATCCGTACGTCTTGGCCTCCCAAAGTGCTGAGATTACAAGCATGTGCCACCACACCGGGCTAGTTCTTATATTTTTAGTAGAGATGGAGTTTCTCCATGTTGGTCAGGCCGGTCTCGAACTCCTGACCTCAGGTGATCCACCCACCTCGGCCTTCCAAAGCGCTGGGATTACAGGTGTGAGCCACTGTGCCCGGTCTCACTAGCATCTATCTGGAGAGGAGGCAAACGTCAGCCATCACCTCCCACTCCCTCCTGTCACCATGTCCCCAGCATCACCCCAGAAGTCACCCTGGCTTCCAACATCACAGCCTGGCTTGGGCAGGTTTCAAGTCTCGTCTAAATGATGTCCTGCAGAACATGTGCTCTGTATCTGCCTTCCTTCCCTCAGCGATGTGTCTGGAAGATTCCACCATGTTGTCCTGTGGCATAGTTCCTTGCCATTGCTGAGCAGGTCCTGATGCAAATGCCCATCTCTCTGCATGGAAAGATTCCCAGATACACAGATGGAAATCGCCATAGGAAGGACTTGTAAGGCTGCTGACACCCGGGGCTGGGGACCTTAGGATGGAGGTGGGGGACAGTAAGGTCCAGAGGGAGTAGATGCCTGCATATGATGTGCCTTTTCTTCTCTATAAAGAACTGAAGGCCAGGTGTGGTGGCTCACGAGTGTAGTTTGGGAGGCCGAGGCGGGCCGATCACTTGAGGTCAGGAGTTTGAGACCAGCCTAGGCAATATGGTGAAACCCTGTCTCTATAAAAATACAAAAAAATTAGCTGGACATGGTTGTGCGAGCCTGTAATCCCAGCTACTCAGGAGGCTGAGGCAGAATTGCTTGATCACTTGAACTTGGGAGAAAGAGGTTGCAGTGAGCTGAGATCATGCCACTATACTGCAGCCTGAGTGACAGAGACTCCATCTCAAAAAAAAAAAAAAAAAAAGGGACGCACTTCCCAGGCAAGTCTTTCAGAACAGACGGAATGGGCCGTACACTTCCTAGAGAGTAAAAGCAGAAACCGGCCAGGTGCAGTGGCACACGCCTGTAGTCCCAACCTACTGGGGAGGCCTAGGGCTTGAGCCCAGGAGTTGTAGGCTGCATTGAGTCATGATCAGGCCACTGCACTCCAGGCTGGGTGAGAGGGATACCTTGTCTTTTTAAAAAAGCAAAAAAGGCCAGGCGCGGTGGCTCATGCCTGTAATTCCAGCACTTTCGGGAGCCAAGGCGGGAGGATCACCAGAGGTCAGGAGTTCGAGACCAGCCTGGCCAATAGGGTGATACCCCGTCTCTACTAAAAATACAAAATTAGCTGGGCATGGTGGTGCACACCTGTAATCCCAGCTAGCTACTTGGGAGGCAGAGGCAGGAGAATCACTTAAACCCAGGAGGCAGAGGTTGCAGTGAGCTGAGATTCTGCCACTGCAATCCAGCCTGGGCAGCAAAAGCAAAACTCCATCTCAAATAGATAAATAAAGGCCCAGCATGTCTTGGCTTTCCCTCTGCAAGACCCCAACTCTCACCCCCAAGAGATCTGGTTCAGACCACGAACTGACGCTGAGCTCAGGCAGAGGTGAGTTGGGGCATCCCTGGCCTGCTGGGAGGCTGCCTGGGGCTGGGGCCAGCCACTCAGAACCCTGGACAAGCTCCAAAAGCTCTGAGCCTCCCAGGCTCTAGGGGGAGTGGGAGAGAGAAGCACTAGCCTTTCCCAGGGGACGTTGCCCCCTCCTCACCTCTTTGTCCCAAATCCCCTTCCTGGCAAAGCTGATGGTCTTATTTCACTCTGGAGGAAACTGAGTCAGCTCTAAGGAACAATTTAATGAACATTTGCTTACTTGAGGACTGGGACTCAAGTCTCACCCAAAGTCTGGGCCATTTTTATCCCAGCTGTCACTGGCTCTCATCCACACACACCCAAGGACATGCACCTAATGTTTGCATGCACAATCCCATGCACATGTTCATTCACTCATTCACTCACTAATTCATTCATTCATTCACTCAGTTATTCATTCATTGCTCATTAATTCATTCACTAACTCATTCATCCATTCCCTCATTCATTTCCTCATTCATTCATTCAGTGAATATTGCAGTCAGGATCCAAATATTCATGGCCTCTGTGTACCAGGCACTAGATGGAGGGGCTGGGGCTAGAGCCCCTGATAATCCGGCCATGCTATAGCTTTTCTAGGGTGCACATTGTGGTAAGGACAGACTAAAAAACTTAAGTCAGGCCAGGCACAGTGGCTCATGCCTGTAATTCAGCTCTTTGGGAGGCAGAGGCAGGAGGATCACTTGAGGCCGGGAGTTCGAGACCATCCTGGGCAATGTAGCAAAACTCTGTCTGTACAAAACAATTTTTTAAAAAATTAGCTGGGCTTGGTGGTGCCCACCTGTAGTCCCAGCTACTCCAGAGGCTGAGGCAGGAGGATCACTGGAACCCAAAAGTTGGAGGCTGCAGTGAACTGTAATCCCACCATTGCACTTGAGCCTGGGCAGCAGAGTGAGACCCTGTCTCAAATAATAGCAATAGCAATAAAAATAAAGAAAAATAAAATGCAATTGGTGATGCATCAGTGACAATAAGTGCTCTGTAGAAAAATAAAACAGGAAGAGGTTGAGGAAGGTATGAAGTTTGCTATGCAATGTGAAGTTATCAAGGAAGGCTTCTCAGAGGAGGTGACATTTGAGCAGAGAAATAGAGGAGAGAGTTGCGGACAGAAGACGGTCAATGGGGCGAACATGGTCAAGGCAGGGAAGATGGTTCAAGGGCGGAAAGATGGTCAAGCGGACGCAGTGAATGCAAAGGCCCTGAGGCAGGAACAGCTTGGTTCACCCCCAAAACCCGTGGGGCCCGTGCAAGTCATGGGAAGGACTAGTGAGGCCCTGTCTTTGTCCCCACAGGTGCATGCAAGCGTGAAGCTGCCCATGTTTACACCCTGCAAGCCTGAAGAGTCCCCAGAAACCGAAAGAAGAAGCAAAGCCCTTTCTGCGCCCTCCCTGCCCCTGTCCTGACCGCGACAAAAGTGACTTCCTCTTTCCAGAGGATTTAAGGCACAGCCCGGGAGTGCTGGGGAGCAGTGGAGGCCGCCCAGTCATGGGGGACACTTTCATCCGCCACATCGCCCTGCTGGGCTTTGAGAAGCGCTTTGTCCCCAGCCAGCACTATGTGAGTAGCTGGTGGGGGGGACCCCGTGGAGGGCACATGGGGGGGCAGCATGGCCACACCTACAGCCCTAGGGCTGACCAGCCCCAGTGAGAACTAAGGGGGCAGGGTCTTAGGCACCCGGTCCCTAGTCTTGGAGTCTGAATCTATCCCTCTGCTCCAGGACCCCACCCTGGGAAGACAGCCCCCTTGGACCCACCCTGGGCAGCCCTTTACTATCCCCACCTGTGTCCCCACCCAGGCCCTCGGCCTTAGCCAGGAGTCCTTTCTCTGCTCCCCTGCCATGGCTGGGCAGCCCAGTGCTCTCTCAGGTCCAAAGCCCACTCCCCCAGGAAGCCCCCCCGACCACCGCAGCTATCAGAGAACTGCCCCCCCAGGAGAGAGGTCCGGAAACTGAAGGCTTCTCTCTCCCCAGCTGCCTGCAGTGTCACTTAGAGTCTTATCTTCTCCAGTAGGGTGACACCACCACAGGGGCCAAAAGAGTCCTCCCGTCCGTCCCCGGGGGGGCCTGGACAAATGCCTGCTCAGACTGATAAGTCCACTGGGTCCTCTAAGCCCACAGAAGGCCAGGGAGGAGCTGCATTTAGGAAACTGAATGAAGTTTGTATGGAACATTTACTGCTGTGTGCCAAGGCCTTTCTCTCTCTCTCTCTCTCTCTCTCTCTCTTTTTTTTTTTTTTTTTTTGAGATAGAGTTTTGCTCTGTTGCTCATGCCAGAGTGCAATGGCGCAATCTCGGCTCACTGCAACCTCCGCCTTTTGGGTTCAAGCAATTCTTCTGCCTCAGCCTCCCTAGTAGCTAGGATTACAGGCATGTGCCACCATGCCCGGCTAATTTCGTATTTTTAGTAGAGACGGCGTTTCACCATGTTGGCCAGGCTGGTCTCAAACTCTTGACCTTAAGTGATCCACTCGCCTCGGCCTCCCAAAGCGCTGGGTTTACAGGTGTGAGCCACCGCACCTGGCCTCTTTTTATGAAATGAGGTCTAGAGTGCAGTGGTGTGATCATAGCTCACTGCAGCCTCGACCACCCAGGCCCAGGTGATCCTCCTGCCTCAGCCGCTTGAGAAGCTGAGGCTCTAGGCCCACACCACCATGCCTGGCTAATTTTTAAAATTTTTGTAGAGATGGGGTTTCCCCATGTTGTCCAGGCTAATCTTGAACTTCTCGGCTCAAGCAGTCCTCTGGTCTCAGCCTCCCACAGCACTAGGATTACAGCGTGAGCTACTGCGCCCAGTCACCTTTCTCCTTTTCTTTGTAACTTTCAGTTTTGAAAGTTCAAATTCATAGAAAGGCTACGGGGCGTTGAAACAATACCAATAACTCCAACAGTCTTTCACCTGCCTTCATCCACACCTCTCTTTCTGGGTGTATTTTCTGGGTTATTTGAGAGTGAGTTGAAGTCATGTTTCTTTCCCTCTAAATACTAGGGGGTGTGCATGTCTTAAAATCAAGGGCATTCTCGGCCGGGCGAGGGGCTTATACCTGTCATCCCAGCACTTTGGGAGGCTGAGGCGGGCGAATCACCTGAGGTCAGGAGTTTGAGGCCAGCCTGACCAACATGGAGAAACCCCATCTCTACAAAAGATACAAAATTAGCCAGGTGTGGTAGCAGGTGCCGGTAATCCCAGCTACTCCGGAGGCTGAGGCAGGAGAATCACTTGAACCGGGGAGGCAGAGGTTTCAGTGAGCTGAGATTGTGCCATTGCACTGGGCAACAAGAGCAAAACTCCGTCTCAGAAAAAGAAAAAATCCTAAGGGCATTCTTTTATGTAAGCATAACGCACGTGTCAAAATCAGGAAATGAACATGGACAAAACACCATTATCTACCCATGACTTTACCAAGGTTTCCCCGATTCGCCTACTTGTCCTCTGTGGTAAAGACTTTTTTCAGGTGTCCGATCCAGTCAGGGATCAATGTCAGGGTCTTTAACCTTCCTTAATCTGGATCAATCTTTTTTTCTTTTTCTGACATGGATTCTCACCCTGTCACCAGGCTGGAGTGCAGTGGCACGATCTCAGCTCACTGCAACCTCCACCTCCTGGATTCAAGTGACTCTCCTGCCTCAGCCTCCCAAGAAGCTGGGATTATAGGCGTGTTACCACGCCTGGCTAATTTTTGTATTTTTAGTAGAGATGAGGTCTCACCCTGGTGGCCAGGCTGGTCTTGAACTCCTGACCTCAAGTGCTGGGGCCTCTCAAAGTGCTGGGGTTAGAGGCATGAGCCACAGCGCCTGGCCCCTTTAATATGGTGGTGTTATTGATTTGAAATGTAGTCGAGTTCATTGTTTTTTTGTTTGTTTCTAATTTTGAGATTTTAAAAGTCTGTTGATTTAATTCATTTTTTATTTTTGTCAATTGTTTAATTAACTAATTAATTTTAAAAAAATTTAAGAACAGGGTCTCACTATATCACCCAGGCAGGTCTTGAACTCCTGTGCTCAAGCAGTCCTCTTGCCCCAGCCTCCAAAGCAGCTGGAACTACCACACCTAGACATGTCCCACCACACCTAGTTAATTTTTTTCAATTTTCTGTGGACATTGAGTTTCACTACGTGGCCCAGGCTGGTCGCAAACTTCTGGCCTCAAGTGATTCGCCGCCCCCAGGCCTCCCGAGTTCTGGGATTACAGGTGTGAGCCATCTCACCCAGCCTGTTTTTGTTTTTTTAAAAATAATTTCAACTTTTATTGATAGATTGATTGGTTGATTGAGTCAGAGTCTCACTCTGTCACCCAGGGTGTAGTGCAGTGGCACGATCTCGGCTCACTGCAATCTCTGCCTCCCAGGTTCAAGCGAGTCTCCTGCCTCAGGCTCCCAAGTAGCTGGGATTACAGGTGTCTGACTCCACACCCAGCTCATTTTTTGTATTTTCAGTGGAGACGGGGTTTTACCATGTTGGCCAGGCTGGTCTGGAACGCCTGACCTCGTGATCCGCCTGCCTCAGCCTCCCAAGGTGCTGGGATCACAGGTGGGAGCCACCGCACCCGGTCAGTTTTAACGTTTAGGTTCAGGGGTACACGTGCAGGTTTGTTACATAGGTATATCGCATAATGCTGAGGTTTGGGGTACGGATCCCGTCACCCGAATACTGAGCAGGGTACCCACTGGTTTTATATAGATTGGCTTTAGGAACGTTCCCCGACCTCCACTCTGTTTCTATGGCAACCATCACCACCGTCTGTCTCCAGCACTATTCACTCATCACAGCTGAACCTCTGTGCCCGTTACACAGTAACTCCTCATGTCCCTCCCAGTCCCTGGTAACCACCATTCTCCTTCCTTCCTTCCTTCCTTCCTTCCTTCCTTCCTTCCTTCCTTCCTTCCTTCCTTCCTTCCTTCCTCCTTCCTTCCTTCCTTCCTTCCTTCCCTCCTTCCCTCCTTCCTTCCTTCCCTCCTTCCCTCCTTCCCTCCTTCCCTCCTTCCTTCCCTCCTTCCTTCCTTCCTTCCTTCCTTCCTTCCTTCCCTCCTTCCTTCCTTCCCTCCTTCCTTCCCTCCTTCCCTCCTTCCCTCCTTCCTTCCTTCCCTCCTTCCCTCCTTCCTTCCTTCCTTCCTTCCCTCCTTCCTTCCTTCCCTCCTTCCTTCCTTCCCTCTTTCCTTCCTTCCTTCCCTCCTTCCCTCCTTCCTTCCTTCCTTCCTTCCCTCCTTCCCTCCTTCCTTCCTTCCTTCCTTCCCTCCTTCCTTCCTTCCCTCCTTCCCTCCTTCCTTCCTTCCCTCCTTCCCTCCTTCCTTCCTTCCCTCCTTCCCTCCTTCCTTCCTTCCTTCCTTCCTTCCCTCCTTCCTTCCTCCTTACCTTCCTCCCTCCCTTCTTCCCCCCTCCCTCCCTCCTTCCTTCCTTCTTTCCCTCCTTCCTTCCACCTTACCTCCCTCCCTCCTTACTTTCTTCCTCCCTTCCTTCCTTCCTTTTCCTTCCTTCCTTCCTTCCTTCCTTCCCTCTTCTTTCTTTCTCTTTCTTTCTTTAGACAGAGTTTCGCTCTTGTTGCTCAGGCTGCAGTGCAGTGGCGCAATCTCAGCTCACTGCAACCTCCGCCGCCTCCCAGTTTCAAGCAATTCTCCTGCCTCAGCCTCCCGAGTAGCTGGGATTACAGGCATGAGCCACCGCACCCAGCTAATTTTGTATTTTTAGTAGAGACGGGGTTTCTCCATGTTGGTCAGGCTGGTCTGGAACTCCTGACCTCGTGATCCGCCCACCTTGGCCTCCCAAAGTGCTGGGATCAAAGGCGTGAGTCACCATGCCTGGCTCTACTTTCTGTCCCTATAAATCTGACTATTTTAGGTAACAAAAATCCTTGGAATTTGGTTACCTAAAATAGTCAGATTTATAGGGACAGAAAGTAGTGCTGTCCATTTGTGACTGGCTTCCTTCAGCCAGCATGACAGCCTCAAGGATACCTTCCTTCTTGCAGCATGTGTCAGAATTTCCTTCCTTCTTTCCTTCACTTATGTATTTATTTATATTATTTTATGAGACAGTTTCCCTCTTGTCACCCAGGCTGGACTGTAGTGGCTCGATCTCGGCTACTGCAACCTCTACCTCCCAGGTTCAAGCGATTCTCCTGCCTCAGCCTCCCGAGTAGCTGGGTTTTTTATTTATTTGTTTGTTTGTTTGTTTTGTTGATTTTTGAGACAGAGTCTCGTTCTGTCACCCAGGCTGGAGTTCAGTGGCACGATCTCGGCTCACTGCAACCTCTGCCTCCTGGGTTCAGGTGATTCTCCTGCCTCAGCCTCCCAAGTAGCTGGAGCCACGGGCACACACCACCATGCCTGGATCTATTCTTTTTACCTCCAGTGTTTTATTCTGAAAAGTTTCAAATATAGAGCAGTTGAAAGAATTTTATTAAAAAAGACAAAAAGCAGACATAGAGCCACGACTTAAATTTCAGCACGAACATGTTCGTTACTTGCCTTGTTGTGTATCTGTCCACACAGCCCAGAATAAATTGCAGAATCGGTCCGTTTTGCTGTGGTTACTGCAGCGTGCCTATCATTAACCAGACGTCAGCATTTCCTCAGTTTTTCTCTTTTCGATGCAAAATTTACCTCCAGCAAAATTCACATTTTTTATTTTTGAGACGGAGTTTCGCTCTTGTTGCCCAGCCTGGAGTGCAGTGGCACAATCTCGGCTCACCGCAACCCCTGCCTCCCGGGTTCAAGCAATTTGCCTGCCTCGGCCTCCTGAGTAGCTGGGATTACAGGCACCTGCCACCACACCTGGCTAATTTTGTATTTTTAGTAGAGACAGGGTTTCTCCATGTTGGTCAGGCTGGTCTCGAACTCCCAACCTCAGGTAATCATCCTGCCTTGGCCTCCCAAAGTGTTAGGATTACAGGCATGAGCCATTGCGCCTGGTCCACAATTTTGTTTTTTTTTTTAAGACAGATTCTCTCTGTGTTGCCCAGGCTGGAGTGCAGTGGCTCAATCTCAGCTCTCTGCAACCTCTGCCTCCTGGGTTCAAGCAATTCGTTCTCCTGCCTCAGGCTCCTGAGTAGCTGGAATTATGGGGGTGCACCACCACACTTGGCTAATTTTTGTATTTTTAGTAGAGATGGGGTTTCACCATGTTGGTCAGACTGGTCTTGAACTCCTGACCTCAGGTGATCTGCTCTCTTCGGCCTCCCAAAGTGCGGGGATTACAGGCGTGAGCCACCGCGCTGGCCGGCCTGCCCCTCCTCTCCCTCCCCTATTCTCTTCTCTTCTCTTTCTTCAAGGCTGGAGTGTAGTTGCACCATCATAGCTTACTAAAGCCGTGACCTCCAAGGCTCAAGCGATTCTCCTGCCTCAGCCTCCTGAGTAGCTGGGAGCACAGTCATGCCTGACCACATCTGGCCAATTTTTGTATTTTTAGTAGATATGGGGCCTTGATATGTTGCCCAGGCTGGTCTCAAACTCCCGGGCTCGAGCGATCTTCCCACCTTGGTCCCCCAAAGTGCCGGGATTACAGGTGTGAGACACCGTGCCCAGCCTAGGTCCTGCTTTTATCTGCAATTTGCAGATGAGGCCATTTGAGAGACATTGACCTGCTTGCCCTCGGTCCCCAGGCTGCGGCATGGCAGCACTTGGGTCCATGTTTGTGCCCTTGGGTCCATGTTTGTGTCCCATCCAGGACAACCCCAAAGATGTCCCTCACCCCAAACCTCTGGGTTTTCTTCAGGGGGTAGTGGGAGCCTAGGTGCACACAGCAAAGCCTCCTGGGAGCTGAACGGAGTCCCCCCAACCCTGGCCTTCCTCCAGGTGTACATGTTCCTGGTGAAATGGCAGGACCTGTCGGAAAAAGTGGTCTACCGGCGCTTTGCGGAAATCTACGAGTTCCATGTGAGTATTGGGATGGAGGAGGGAGAGGGGACGCATTGTCCAGCTCCACCCTTTGGGGAGGACCCCAGCCCAGGTGGTGGGGGAAACTGCGGAACCCAGAATCCCCTCCCAGTCCACAGTTAAAGGGGATTTACACACACACACACACACACACATACACACACACACACATACACACACACACATACACACATACACACACACACTTTTTTTTTTTTTTTAGAAACGGGGTCTCACTATATTGCCCAGGCTGCTCTCAAACTCCTGAACTCAAATGATCCTCCCACCTCAGCCTCCCAAATTGCTGGGGTTACAGGTGTGAGCCCCTGCACCTGGTCAACCTGGCTTTTAAGTGTAACCCTCTAGCAACTGGATTGAGGACAGGCAAGGGTGGACGGGGGAGGTAAGGAGGCCATTGTCTATCCAGGCCTGACAGTGGCTAGGGCCAGGAGCGTGGGGTTGGCAGGAAGGTGTCAGATCTTGAAGCAAAAGGATTAGCTGGTGACTTGCACGTGGCGGAAGAGAGGTTAACACCTCTGCTAATCACGGAGTCCAGATTGCCACAGACATTTCTAGGCCCGAGATATTTAGGTAGTGTCTCACTCTTCACCCAGGCTGGAGTGCAGTGGTGCCATCTCAGCTCACTGTAACCTCCGCCTCCCAGGTTCAAGCCATTCTTCCACCTCAGCCTCTGGAGTAGCTGGGACTTCAGGCATGTGCCACCACGCCTGGCTAATTTTTTTTTTTTAGACAGAGTTTTGCTCTTGTTGCCTAGGCTGGAGTGCAATGGCGTGATCTCGGCTCACCGCAACCTCTGCCTCCTGGCTCCGAGCGATTGTCCTGCCTCAGCTTCCTGAGTAGCTGGGATTACAGGCGCCCACCACCATGCACAGCTAATTTTTTGTATTTTTAGTAGAGACGGGGTTTCACCAGGTTGGCTGGGCTGGTCCCAAACTTCTGACCTCAGGTGATCTGACCACATCAGCCTCCCAAAGTGCTGGGATTACAGGCGTGAGCCACTGTGCCCAGCCCAATTTTTGTAGTTTTAGTAAAGATGGGGTTTCACCGTGTTGGCCAGGCTGGTCTTGAACTCCTGACCTCAAGTGATCCACCTGCCTCAGACTCCCAAAACGCTGCGATGACAGGCGTGAGCTATGGCACCCAGCCTTTTAGGTAGTTTTGAGAGGTATTTAAGTCACTTCCAAGTTCGTGCTTTTCCAAGTGTTGTAAACCGCAAATATTCCCTCACACCTTCTTTTCTTTCCAATGTTTAGAAAACCTTAAAAGAAATGTTTCCTATCGAGGCAGGGGAGATCAACCCAGAGAACAGGATCATCCCCCACCTCCCAGGTGAGCGTGGGGCAGTCTGTCAGGGGGTTGGTGGGCGGGGGCTCACCTGGCTGTCAGGGGGTTGGTGGGCGGGGCTCACCTGGCTGTCAGGGGGTTGGTGGGCGGGGGCTCACCTGGCTGTCAGGGGGTTGGTGGGCGGGGCTCACCTGGCTGTCAGGGGGTTGGTGGGCGGGGCTCACCTGGCTGTCAGGGGTTGGTGGGCGGGGGCTCACCTGCCTCTCCGACCCCTCTCGGGCTTGACCTCATCTTCTGTGGTGCCAGCTCCCAGGTGGTTCGACGGGCAACGGGCCGCCGAGAACCGCCAGGGCACGCTGACCGAATACTGCAGCACGCTCATGGGCCTGCCCGCCAAGATCTCCCGCTGCCCCCACCTCCTCGACTTCTTCAAGGTGCGCCCCGACGACCTCAAGCTCCCCACGGACAGCCAGTGAGTGGCCTTTTCACCCTGCCAGGCGGGAGCGGGAAGGGGGCTGGGACTTGCCCTGTTTTGCAGATGAGGAAACCAATGCTCAGAGAGGGAAAGCCACCTTCCTAGAGCCACACAGCCAGAAAGAGAAGGAGGCAGACTCCACCTCCAACCTCTGTGATCCTGCCAAGCCTCCTCCACCTTAACCCTTCACACCTGAGGGTGCTGGGGGAAGCACTCGGGGCTGGGGCGCTGAGGTCCCGGGTCGTCATCCTGAGCCTAGCAGCTGGGAAAAAAGGCGCGCGCCACCACGCCTGGTTAATTTTTTTGATTTTTAGTAGAGACGGGGTTTCATGGCCAACGTGTCGAAACCCCGTCTCTACCAAAAATATTAAAAAATCGGTTAGGTGGCCGGGCGCAGTGGCTCAAGCCTGTAATCCCAGCACTTTGGGAGGCCGAGGCGGGTGGATCACGAGGTCAAGAGATCGAGACCATCCTGGTCAACATGGTGAAACCCCATCTCTACTAAAAAATACAAAAAATTAGCTGGGCATGGTGGCGCGTGCCTGTAATCCCAGCTACTCGGGAGACTGAGGCAGGAGAGAATTGACTGAACCCAGGAGCCAGAGGTTGCAGTGAGCTGAGATCGGACCATCGCACTCCAGCTTGGGTGACAGAGCGAGACCCTGTCTCAAAAAAAAAAAAAAAAAAGAAGCAAGAAGATGGCCCATAAGAGCATTTCCCAGATTTAGGGCAGCCTTAGGATCTGCCGGAGGCTGTGGAATGTCCTCCTCATGTCCTTCCCTTGGAGATCCACTGCCCCATCCCCTCACGTCCCGAAATCCTTCCTCAGCCAGTCCAGCTGCTCTCTTCTCTCTGCAGTGCCCCTTCCTTCCCTGGGTCCCTCTTGGGAAGTTCTTCTGCAGGTCTACCCATGCATCGCCTTCTTCCGTGGGAAGCCGAGGGTCTCACCCAGACTGTTCTCTCCTCAGGACAAAAAAGCCAGAGACATACTTGATGCCCAAAGATGGCAAGAGCACCGCAGCGGGTGAGGGGACAGGGGGGTAGCCAGGGAGACCAGAGTTGGGGGTGTTCAGGGAAGAGAGCAGGGGCTGGGACCGGGCGGCGGGGGGCTCACAGCTACCCCACTGAAGAGTTGGGTCTTTGGGCCGGGCACAGTGGCCCATGCCTGTCATCCCAGTCCTTTGGGAGGCCCGCGCGGGTGAACTCCTGAACTCCTGGCTGACCTCAGGAGTTCAAGACCAGCCTGGCCAACATGGTGAAACCCCATCTCTACTAAAAATACAAAAATTAACCAGGCGTGGTGGCGCGCACCTGTTATCCCAGCTACTCAGGAGGCTGAGGCAGGAGAATCTCTTGAACCTGGGAGGTGGAGGTTACAGTGAGCTGAGATCGTGCCATTGCACTCCAGCCTGGGCAACAGTGTGAGACTCCATCCAAAAAAAAAAAGAATTGGGTGTTTGGAAGGTCATTGGAGAATGAAAGGAGCCTCCTGCAGGTGTCAGTGCCGAGACCAGCGCAGACCCTGGCTTCCGGCAGCTGGGGGGATGTTTGTGGCAGAACGAATGCACAGGTTTTGGAGGCCAAAGTGACTGTTAGAGGTGACGCAGGGCGTGACAGCTTTAATACTTCTTGCGCAGTCACGTCACTGCTGATAACAGTGAGAGCACTTACTCTGTGCCAGCCACTGTCTCGCTTTTGCTGTTTTCACGGACAGGTTTTGGGCTATTGCCCAGGCTGGAGTGAAGTGCTGTGATCATAGCTCACTGCAGCCTCGACCTCCCGGGCTGAAGGGATCCTCCCCGCTCAGCCTCCCAAGTAGCCGGGATTACAGGTGTGTGCCCCCATGCCCAGCTAATTTCTGATTTTTTTGTAGAGCTGGGTTCTCACTACATTGCCGAGGCTGGTCTTAAAGGCTTGCCCTCAAGCAATCCTCCTGCGTCCGCCTCCCAGAGTGCTGGGATTACAGACAGGAGCCGCTGTGCCCGGCTTTTCTTCTTATGAGGACACCAGGCCTGTGGGATTAGGGCCCACTCTAATGATCTCATTTTAACTTAATTACCTCTTGCAAGATTCTGTCTCCAAATAAGGTACTGGCGGGTTAGGACTTCAACACAGGAATGTTGAGAAGAGTGAACTCAGCCAATAAGAAACAGCATCAGTGCCTCCAGGGTTGGATGAAGGGCTGGCGAGAGACGCAGACTCCGGGTCCCCGTGGACCTACTGAACAGGACAGGCATTTTAGCAACGCCCCAGGGCCTTCGGGTGCACCTTAAAGTTAGGAAAAGACCAGGTGCCATGGTTCATGCCTGTAATCCCAGCACTTGGGAGGCCAAGCGGGAGGATCACATGAGGTCTGGAGTTCGAGACCAGCCTGACCAATATGGCGAAACTCCATCTCTACTGAAAATACAAAAATTGCCAGGTGCGGTGGCAGGTGCCTGTAGTCCCAGCTACTCAGGAGGCTGAGGCAGGGAAATTGCTTGAACCTGGGAGGTAGAGGTCACAGTGAGCCAAGATTGCACCACTGTACTCCAGCCTGGGCGACAGAGCGAGACTCCATCACGAACAACAAAAAAAAAGTTACAAAAAGGCCAGGTGCGGTGGCTCCACGCCTGTAATCCCAACACTTTAAAAAGCCGAGGTGGGAGAATCCCTTTGAGTCCGGGAATTCAAGAGCAGCCAGGGCAACATCACAAGACCCCATCTCTACAAAAATTAGCTGGGGGCTGGGCAAGGTGGCTCCCACCTGTAATCCTAGCACTTTGGGAGGCTGAGGCAGGTGGATCACCTGAGGTCAGGAGTTCGAGGCTAGCCTGGGCAACATGGTGAAACCCCGTCTCTACTAATAATACAAAAATTAGCTGGGTGTGGTGGTGGGCGCCTGTAATCCCAGCTACTTGGGAGGCTGAGGCAGGAGAATTACTTGAACCCAGGAGGCGGAGGTTGCAGTGAGCTGAGATCACGCCATTGCACTCACTTTAGGACAATAAGAGTGAAACTCCAGATCAAAAAAAAAAAAAATTTAGGCAGGCATGGTGACATACACCTGTAGTCCCAGCTACTCAGGAGGCTGAGGCAGGGAGATTGCTTGAGCCCAGGAGTCCAGGACTGTCGTGAGCTGTGATCATGCCACTGTACTCCAGCCTGGGCAACAGAGCAAGGCTCTGTCTCCAAAAAAGAAAGAAAGTTGGGAGAGGCTTGCTAACTTCATCAGATGAGAACAAGGACACATTTGAAGCGTGAGGCCAAAGCCTGGAGCACGCTAGGCACTCAGGAAATACAGGGGACAGAGACTCAGGACACCAGTGCCCATTCTGTTGGCCCAGATGGACCCTGCGGTGCCCACTCACCCGGCCCTCCCTCTGCCCCAGACATCACCGGCCCCATCATCCTGCAGACGTACCGCGCCATCGCTGACTACGAGAAGACCTCAGGCTCCGAGATGGCGTTGGCCGTGGGGGACGTGGTGGAGGTCGTGGAGAAGAATGAAAGCGGTCAGACTTCCCGCCCCACCAGGATCCTTCCCCTGGTGCTTGGGATCCACAGCCACAAGCCTCCTGCCAAGGCTCAGGCAGCCTGGCCCTGGGAGGACTCTGGCTCTTTCGGGGTCCCTGAATGTCCTCCCCACACTGTGGGTCGCCCTCTCTCTGAGTGTGCACCCTGCGGTGGCTGTGGGCATCTGTGCATGGCGGGCCAGGGTGTGCATGTCTGGGTGGGCATGGGACCGTCTGCTCATTATGGAGTGAGCTCAAGGTTGTGATTTTGTGAGCATGTGTGCATGCATTCATGTGACTTCGTGGTCCAGTGTGGTGAAGGTGACATTTCTGAATCTGAGCGTTGGACGTCTCTGTCTGTGTCCCTGTGTCCTCACCATCCCTGATGGCTGCAGAGAGCTGCCCGGCCCGCCCCTCAGTCCCATTCCCACACCCTGGTGCAGGTTGGTGGTTTTGCCAGATGAAAGCAAAGCGAGGCTGGATCCCAGCGTCCTTCCTGGAGCCCCTGGACAGTCCCGACGAGACGGAGGACCCTGAGCCCAACTATGCAGGTGCCCCGCCCTCTGAGGCCATAGGGGTGTGGGAGGAAGGGGCAGGCAGGCCCAGGGATATTGAGTGACTGCTTTGGAGTCTGGCCTGGTTGTTGGCTGGGCAGAAAGGTCAGGGCTGATACCTCATTGACTCTGGCTTGGGGGTCCTGGCAGGTTGCGGTGCCCTTGGTCCAGGCAGGGAACCAGGAAGAGGAGCAGATGCTGGGGGAGGGTGGGAGGTCAGTGGTGTCTGTGGGCATGGGGCCAGATCCAGTGGGAAGCTGAAGGATGAGCAGACCTGAGGCTCAGGAGGGAAGGCTGCCTGGAGGTAGAGGCATCACCACTGACCAGAAAGGGAAAGCTGGCAGTGCCAGGGCTGGATGGGGCCTGCATTGAGCTTGAAAGAAACTATAATATAACTGGTTACCATTTTATTTTACCTTATTATTTATTTACTATTATTATTATTTTTTGAGACAGCATCTCACTCTCTCGCTCAGGCTGGAGTGCAGTGGTGCGATCTCGCCTCACTGCAACCTCTGCCTCCCAGGTTCAAGTGATTCTCCTGCCTCAGCCTCCCGCGTAGCTGGGATTACAGGCATGCGCCACCATGCCCAGCTAATTTTTGTATTTTTAGTAGAGACGGGGTTTTATCACGTTGGCCAGGCTGGTCTTGAACTCCTGACCGCAGATGATCCGCCGGCCTTGGCCTCCCAAAGTGCTGGGATTACAGGCATGAGTCATCACGCCTGGCCTGGATACCCACACTTTAAAATGGAGTGATTTCATCCTTTTATGTGGATTTACAGCTCTTTATCTTTTTCTTTTTTTTTTTTGAGACAAAATCTCGCTCTATCACCCAGGTTGGAGCGCAATGACGCAATCTCTGCTCACTGCAACCTTTGCCTCCTGGGTTCAAGCGATTCTCCTGCATCAGCCTCTCGAGTAGCTGGGATTACAGGTGTGTGCCACTACACCCAGCTAATTTCTGTATTTTTAGTAGAGATGGAGTTTTGCCATGTGGCCAGGCTGGTCTTGAACTCCTGACCTCAGGTGATCTACCCACCTCGGCCTCCCAAAGTGCTGGAATTACAGGCAGGAACCACCTCCCTGGCCTGTGGCTATTGTTTAAACACTGGGAAGGCCTGCGGCCTCACAGGCTGACAATTAGCTGCAGCTGAGCAGTTCCCAGCGCCTCGCAGACAGGTGCTCCACCCACCTGCTCATGGCTGGTCTCCTGTCATATTTAGGTGCCTGGCCAGACCTCCGTCATTATGGAATCTCTGGTCCCCAGAGTGGGTGGCAATGGATGGGAGTAGACAAGCTCACCTGGGTGTAGGGGGCAGAGGGTAGAAGTCCAGAGTGTGCCCCCAGAGTGGGTGCCAGCAGGAGCTTGCAGAGGGAGCCTGGGATAGAGCAGGGTGGGTGGAGGGAAGAGACCCAGAAGAAAGGGAATTGTGAGCCCTGGGTGGGTCTGGAGTGGCTGGAGGAAGCCCAGGTGCAGTGATGAGAAGAAGGGAGGGGTGGTGAGCCCTGGGCTGGGTAGACCTCACACTGTGCCCTGTGCCCCCGCTGTGGACCAGGCGAGCCATACGTTGCCATCAAGTCCTATACTGCTGTGGAGGGGGACGAGGTGTCTCTGCTCGAGGGCGAGGCCATTGAGGTCATTCACAAGCTCCTGGACGGCTGGTGGGTCATCAGGTAGGAGGGCCCTCTCCATCCAGGGCACCCACCTGAGAGTCAGCCTCAGCCAGGGCGGGAGTGTCTGGGGGTCTGGGGTGACTTGTCTCTGGGACTCTGGGTAAGCCACTGCGTCTCTCTGGGCTCAGTTTCCATTTCAATAGCAGGGAGGGATAAGCCCACCCTTGCCTGCCGTGTGGTCCAATGTCCTCGTCCGAGAGTGCATTTTCCCTTTGTGATTTAGGGTCTCTTCCTAACCATATGTTATTATTCCGTCTCCGGCAACATGGTGTGAACTGTTGGATAAATGATTACATTCCTTGCTGGGTGAGCTGGCTCAGGCCTGTAATCCCAGCACTTTGGGAGGCTGAGGTGGGATGATCACGTGAGGTCAGAAGTCTGAGACCACCCTGGACAACATGACAAAACCCTGTCTCTACCAAAAATACAAAAATTAGCCAGGTGTGGTGGCACACGCCTGTAATCCTAGCAATTTGGGAGGCTGAGGCAAGAGAATTGCTTGAACCCTGGAGGTGGAGGTTACAGTGAGCCGAGATCTCGCCATTGCACTCCAGCCTGGGCGACAGAGCGAGACTCTGTCTCAAAGAAAAAAAATTACATTCTTTTTATAATCCTGTTTCCTTTTAAAGGTTTCTTATAGTCAGGTGCGGGGTCTCATGCCTATAATCCCAACACTTTGGGAAGCCAAAGTGGGAAGATTACTCAAGGCTACAAGTTCAAGACCAACCTGGGTAACATAGGAGACCCCTGTCTCTACAAAAAAAAAAATTAAAAATTAGCTGGACATGGTTGCACACACCTGTAGCCCCAGCTACTTGGGAGGCTGAGGTGGGAGGACTGCTTGACCCCAAAAGTTGGAGGCTGCAGTGAGCTATGACTGCACCACTGCACTCCAGCCTGTTGATGAAGCAAGATCGTGTCTCTTAAAAAAAAAGCTTCCATTGCAGTTCCCATCTGTTTGTCCTCCAAACGAATGCACAAATACTAATTTTTTTTCTTCTGGTTCTGGGGAACACAGAATTCTAGCGGCTTGTGGAGCCATCCCCTGGAGCCACAGGGCCTCCCAGGTCCTTTCCCATGTCTTCATTTTTTACCAGTTTATTTATTTTTTGAGACAGGGTCTTGCTCTGACTCCCAGGCTGGAGCACAATCATGGCTCACTATAGCTCAAGTGATCCTCCCACCTCAGCCTCCCAAGTCGCTGGGACTACAGGTGAGTACCACCACGTCCAGCTAATGTTTTTTAATTTTTTTGTAGGGACAGGGTCTCACTATGCTGCCAAGACTGGTCTTAAACTCCTGGCCTCAAGAAATCCTCCTGCTTTGGCCTCCCAAAGCACTGGGATTACAGGCATGAGCCTCCATGCTGGGCCTTTGCTGTCATCTGCAGAGCTCTAGGTCACAGGGCCAGCCCGGCGCCCCACTGCAAGCATATCTTAAAGCCAGGACCACAACATGCATACCCACAGCGTGGTCCTGGGTCGGGGGGGGGGGGCTTTGAGGCAGCATTTCTCAGCCTTTTAGACACACACTCCGTTAACCCCCATCCTGTGTCTTTGACAATCTTCCTGTGATCCTCCCACCAGCCAGGAATTAGGCTTTGTTTGTTTGTTTTTTGAGACGGAGTTTCGCACTTGTTACCCAGGCTGGAGTGCAATGGCGCGATCTCGGCTCACCGCAACCTCCGCCTCCTGGGTTCAGGCAATTCTCCTGCCTCAGCCTCCTGAGTAGCTGGGATTACAGGCACGTGCCACCATGCCCAGCTGATTTTTTGTATTTTTAGTAGAGACGGGGTTTCACCATGTTGACCAGGATGGTCTCGATCTCGTGATCCACCTGCCTCGGCCTCCCAAAGTGCTGGGATTACAGGCGTGAGCCACCGTACCCAGTGTTAGGAATTAGGGTTTTATGTAAACTTTGTATTATGCAAAGTTTTTTTTTTTTTTAATTTTGTAACTTTTTTTTTTTTTGAGACAGAGTTTCGATCTTGTTACCCAGGCTGGAGTGCAATGGCACGATCTCGGCTCACCACAACCTCCGCCTCCTGGGTTCAGGCAATTCTCCTGCCTCAGTCTCCTGAGTAGCTGGGATTACAGGCACGCACCACCGTGCCCAGCTAATTTTTGTATTTTTAGTAGAGACGGGGTTTCATCATGTTGACCAGGATGGTCTCGATCTCTTGACCTTGTGATCCACCCGCCTCGGCCTCCCAAAGTGCTGGGATTACAGGTGTGAGCCACTGCGCCCGGCCTTGTTTTTTTTTTTTTTTACTCCCAAATATAATATTGAGAATGGAAAGAAACTCTTTTCAACAAATGGTGCTGAAACAGGTGGATATCCATACTGAAAAAAAAAACAAAAAACAAACCTGGACCCCTACCTCACACTGTACACAGACGTTTACTTCAGATGGATCACAGGTTTTTCCAAGTGTAAAACCTGAAACTAAAAAGCATTTGGGGCCAGACTCAAAGCTCACGCCTGTAATCTCAGTACTTTGGGAGGTCGAGGTGGGTGGATCACTTGAAGTCAGGAGTTAGAGACCAGCCATGACCAACATGGTGAAATCCCATCTCTACCTAAAAACAAAACAAAAAAAAACAGGCGTGGTGGTGCATGCCTGTAATCTCAGCTAAGTGGGAGGCTGAGGCGGAAGAATTACTTGAATTCAGGAGGCAGAGGTTGCAATGAGCTGAGATTAGCCATTGCACTCCAGGCTTGGCAACAAGAGAAAAATTCTGCCTTTGAAAAAAAACCATTTGGAAGAAAGCATAGAATTTGGTGACTTGGAGGCAGGCCAAGGTTCGTAGGAGACAGAAGGCAGTTAACATACAAGACAAATTGATAAATAGAATCTGCCAATGTCTTCTTTTTTCTTTAATTTTTTTTTGGGAGGTGCAGAGATAGGGGTCTTGCTATGTTGCCCAGGCTGGTCTTTAACTCCTGGCCTCAAGCGATCCTCTCACCTAGACCTCTCAAAGTACTGGGATTACAGGCGTGAGCGACTGTGCCCTGCCCATTCTTGCCAATATCTTATAGCAAATACCTGTTCCCTGCGGTGACCTGGACCTGCTAACCTCCACCCCTGCCTAGACTGTGGAAGGAGAGCTGGAAGGGTCTCAGTTGCACAGACCAGGAAACTGAGGCCCACAGAGGCAGGGGTCTGGTTGTTTGCGACGTCTCAGCCTGTCTTAACCCCAGCTGTTCAGAGAGAGCCCTGAAACCCCCGCCTCTGAGCGCCCCCCAGGTGACTGACCCAGCCTCAAGGGCTGCCTCTGTTGCAGGAAAGACGACGTCACAGGCTACTTCCCGTCCATGTACCTGCAAAAGTCGGGGCAAGACCTGTCCCAGGCCCAACGCCAGATCAAGCGGGGGGCGCCGCCCCGCAGGTGAACGGGGGTCCCCGGGGCTGGGCAGGGTCGAGGGGAGCGCACCACGGGTTCGCTCTGTCTAGGCCGTAGCTTGGCAGTGCCAGGGGAAGGGGGTCTCTCAGCCTGGCAGAAGAGGCAGGACCCTCACCGGGAAAGGGGCTGGACACACCCGGCCGCGGTGTGTGGCTGGCACGGGGGCGGAAGGAAAGCGGCGATGCCCGGGAGCCTTGCGGATGGGCAGTCCTGGGAACCGCCCGGGCTCTGCGGCAGGGCAAGGGTCCGTGTCGTGAAGGTGGCAGCCGCCTCTTGCCCCGCCCGCCCCCCACTTCCTCGGTCCAGGGGTGCCCATCCGAAACCCTGGGATGGGCATGCTCGGGCTCTGACGACGCCCTTTCCCGCCGGGGCAGGTCGTCCATCCGCAACGTGCAGAGCATCCACCAGCGGTCGCGGAAGCGCCTCACCCAGGACGCCTATCGCCGCAACAGCGTCCGTTTTCTGCAGCAGCGACGCCGCCAGGCGCGGCCGGGACCGCAGAGCCCCCGGAGCCCGCTCGGTGAATGCAGCGGGTTGGGGGACGGAGGGGCGGGGCGGGCGACCCCCGTAGGGGCGGAGTTAGCGAGAGAGGCGGGATCAGAGGAGGGGCCAGCGCTAGGGGGCGGGGAGATCCCTAAGAGGCGGAGTCAGAGGGAGAGGCACGACCAGGAGGCGAAGCCAGAGCGCGGAGCGGGAGAGCGCTCGGTGGGCGGGGCCAGAGAGTGCGGTGGGCGGGACCAGAGGGCGGTGGGTGGGGCCAGTGTGCAGGGCGGGGCCTCTGACCCGGCCCCGGCTCTCCTCCCGCAGAGGAGGAGCCGCAGACCCAGCGCGCTAAGCCGCAGCCGGCGGTGCCCCCGCGGCCCAGCGCCGACCTCATCTTGAACCGCTGCAGCGAGAGCACCAAGCGGAAACTGGCGTCTGCCGTCTGAATCTGGACCGCAGTCCCAGCTAGCGTCTGGGCCCCTCCGCCGGCTCCCGTCCGGTCCCTGTATATACGTGTTCTATAGAACCTGGTGTCTGGGCCCCTGCCCAGCGCCGCTCCCGCCACCCTCAATAAATGTTGCTTGGAGTGGACCGAGGCTCTGCAGGGATGCTGGGTGGGCCGGGCTCCGCCCCGGGGGTATTTCTAGATTGAGGACCGGAGGATGTGGGTTCTGCTGGGGGGAAGTTGCAGGAGCTGATGTCTGGTTGCATATTGCCCTGGCCTTGGCCAAGAACAGGTTTGCAAAAGGCCAAGTGCAAGAGGAACTCTCGGTTTCCTGCTGACTGTTTGGTCAGAAACCACCTGGTCGGACTCTGGCGGAAGAGTCCTCAAGATGGGTGGACACAGTGCGGCGGGACAGCCCTGTCTCATGACAGGAGACAGGGTGCGGTCCAGGGTGCAAGGGTGACCTTATAGCTGGGACCAAAAAAATATAACTTAGGGCTGGGCGCAGTGACTCATGACTGTAATCCCAGTACTTTGGGAGGCAGAGGCGTGTGGATCACTTGAGCCTAGGTGTTGGAGACCAGCCTGGCCAACATGGTGAAACACTGCCTCTACCAAAAATACAAAAATTAGCTGGGCGTGGTGGCGGGTGCCCATAATCCCAGCTACTCGGGAGGCTGAGGCATGAGAATTGCTTGAACCCAGGAGGCAGAGGTTGCAGTGAGCCGAGATGGTGCCACTGCACTCCAGCCCGGACTACAGAGCAAGACTCTGTCTCAAAAAAAAAAAAGAAGGCCGGGCACGGTGGCTCACGCCTATAATCCCAGCACTTTGGGAGGCCGAGGCGGGTGGATCACGAGGTCAAGAGATCGAGACCACACTGGTCAACGGGGTGAAACCCCATCTCTACTAAAAATACAAAAATTAGCTGGGCATGGTGGTACATGCCTGTAGTCCCAGCTACTCGGGAGGCTGAGGCAGGAGAATTGCTTGAACCCAGAAGGCGGAGGTTGCGGTGAGCCGAGATCGTGCCATTGCGCTCCAGTCTGGGTAACAACAGTGAAACTCCGTCTCAAAAAAAAAAAAAAAAAAAGTGTAGCTTAGGTACAGAGTGTCCTCTGTTATTCACAGAGACCCTGCCCTGGTTAGGAGGTTGCACCGGAAAGCAAATATTCACTATGAACACATCCTCACTGCTCACCCTAGCATTGCTGCCAACATGTAGCCTGAAAAAGCCTTTGCTTTGAGAACAGATGTTTCCCTAAAATGCAGATATGAAGGTGCAAAGTGAAGCTGCAAGTCTTGCAAAGGATGTAACTTGTCATGAAGGCCACAAGTGGCAGGGAGAGCTGTCACACATATGCAGAAGTGGCTATGTGAGAGGCAGTTCCCTTAGAGATAAGAGAAAATCATAAGGGAACAGATGCTTGTCGAGAGAATAAGCTGGCCATCAAAACACTGACAGAGACTTTCCAAAGATCACTGGATAGCCAGGCATAGTGGCTCAGGCCTGTAATCCCAGCACTTTGGGAGGCGGAGGCAGAGGCAAGTGGATCACTTGAGATCAGGAGTGTGAGACCAGCCTGGGCAATATGGTGAAACCTCGTCTCTACAGAAAATATAAAAATTAGCAGGGAATGGTGGCACATGCCGGTAATCCCAGCTACTCAGGAGACTGAGGCAGAAGAATTGCTTGAATCTGGGAGGCAGAGGCTGCAGTGAGTCGAGATTGCTCCACTGAACTCCAGCCTGAGTGACAGTGAAAGGCTCCATCTCAAAAAAAAAAGAAAGAAAGAAAAAGAAAAGAGAACCATTGCTGCTCTAAACTAGTTCTGTTCTGTGCATCACCAACCCTCACCCCTTCTGCTTATTCAGTTGCAGTTACTGAATACGGTATAAAATACCACACCTCTAATCCCAGTGCTTTGGGAGGCCGAGGTGGGAGGATTGCTTGGGGCCAGGAGTTCAAGACCAGTCTGGGCCACACAGTGAGACCGATCTAGACAAAAAAAATTTAAACATTAGCCAGGTGTGGTTGCTTGAACCTGTAGTCCCAGACTGGGCGGGAGGATCGCTTGAGCCCAGGAGTGTGAGGCTGCAGTAAACTGTGATTGTGCCACTGTGCTTCAGCCTGGGTGTCAGAGCAAGCCCCTGTATCTAAACAACAACAACAACAACAACAAATTAAAGGCCAGGTGCAGTGGCTCACCCCTGTAATCCCATCACTTTGGGAGGTTGAGGCAGGTGGATGACTTGAGGCCAGGAGTTCAAGACCAGCCCGGCCAATATGGCAAAACCCTGTCTCTACTGAAAATACAACAACAATAAATTAGCCCTGTGTGGTGGTGCACACCTGTAATCCCAGGTTCTCAGGAGCCTGAGTCAGGAGAATCACTTGAACCCTGGTGGCAGAGGCTGCAGTGAGCTGAGATCGTGCCTGCACTCCAGCCTGAGACACGAGAGCGTGCCTTTGTCTCAAAAATAAATAAATAAAAATAAAAAATAGACATACATATAAAAAAGCAGATAAAATACCTATTTTATCATCGTTTGTTTCATTTTTTGTTTTTCCAAGCTGAGGTCCTGACCAAATCTTTCCCCATGGTAAAGATCAGATATATTTCTGATCCCCTTGAAGCGGCCTTGCTGGGGAGGACGCCTCTCGGTGGGTGGGTGATCAGGAAGCCAGGCCCACAGGGAAGGGAGGAGAAAACTAAAGTTGCCAGAACTAAGGGCTGCACCTCTGTTTAACCAACAGTTTTCTCGAGGCCAGGCACAGTCCTGGGCTTGTCTCACCGCCTCCAGTTCTGACACCAACACTGGTGGGTATTTTATGGATGAGGAAACCAAAGCTGACGAAATTGATGAAGTGATTTGCTTACGCAATAATGCAAGAAGCGGGCAGTGCCAGGAGGTGAACCAGGCTTTTCTTCTTTTTTTTTTTTTTTTTTGACGGAGTTTTCTCTTGCTGCCCAGGCTGGAGTACAACGGAGTGACCTTGCCTCACTGCAACCTCTGCCTCCTGGATTCATGCAATTCTCCTGCCTCAGCCTCCAGGATAGCTGGAATTACAGGTGCCTGCCACTCTGACAGGCTAATTTTTTTGTATTTTTAGTAGAGATGGGGTTTTACCATGTTGGCCAGGCTGGTCTTGAACTCCTGACCTCAGGTGATCTGCCTGCCTCGGCCTCCAAAGTGCTGGGATTACAGGCGTGAGCCACTGTGTCCAGCCCAGGCTTTTCTTTTTGCTTCCAAAGCCCTTCCAGATCTGTGCCTTATCCTGACTCTGCAGAGCTCAGGATCTGTGGGTTGGGCCTTGTGGCTAAGTGGAGGGAATATGGCACACAGGTACGTGCCCAGCCAAGTGCTAAGGGGCCTGGCTTCCAGGACCCTCCTTAGACCCCTAGTCCCAGGGCCTGTGTCAGAGGAGACAGTGGCTCTTTCCTCTGCCCATCCTGGGATGGGCATTCGGGGCCTTGGGGCAGTTGCAATGCAAACCCTGCCCCTGGAAACTGAGAGACTCACCAAATCCAGTCCCTACTCCTGGGTTGGGTTCCTGTCCATCTCCCTGACCACGCCACTCCCAAGGGCTCGTGTTTGCAAACACCCCATTGCCCTGCTAAAAACCTCTCCCAGGCAGACTTGGTGGCTCGTACCTGTAATCTTAGCACTTTGGGAGGCCGATGTGGGTGGATCACTTGAGGTAGGAGTTTAAGACCAGCCTAGCCAACATGGTGAAACTCTGTCTCTACTAAAAATACAAAAATTAGCTGGGTGTGTTGGTGAGTGCCTGTAATCCCAGCTACTTGGGAGGCTGAGGCAGGAGAATTGCTTGAGCTCAGGAGGCAGAGGTTGCGGTGAGCTGAGATTGGCCTGGGCAACCGTGCAAGACTCTGTCTCAAACAAACAAAACAAACCAAAAACTCTCCCATGTATTCAGTCATTCCCACAGTCTCAGCTCAGTCCCATGAGTGTCAGTATATGTTAGTGGTCATCATATCTCAAGCCATCCTGGTCCCAACACATGTTCTAGCGGTAAGAAGGACTCTCAGGGGCCTTGGAAATTGATTCAAAGCAGAACAGCTTAATGAATGATCTGGCCAGCAGAAGGCAGCCTAGGCTGAACCCTACTGTCCCCTCCCTGTCATCTGATGGGGGGACCATCAGGGAGCCACACACATGATAGATGATGAGGGCAGAGGCTGCACGACAGACACCTGCTAGGCCTCCATGTCAGGCACAGTGGCTGCTTAGGAATGAAGCATGTGGACCAGGCGTGGTGGCTCACGCCTGAATCCCAGCACTTTGGGAGGCTGAGGTGGGCGGATCACTTGAGGTCAGGATATACATATACACATATCATGAGAGGGACGGGGGTAAGGAGGGAAGGAGAGAAAGCGATCAAACAATGATCAAGACCATCCTGGCCAACGTGGAAAAAACCATCTCTACTAAAAATACAAAAATTATCCAGGCATGGTGGTACATCCCAGCTATCTGGAGGCTGAGGCAGGAGAATCGCTTGAACCCAAGAGGTGGAGGTTGTATTGAACTAAGATCATGCCACTGCACTCCAGCCTGGGCGACAGAGCTATACTCCATCTCAAAAAAAAAAAAAAAAAAGGAAGAAGTGAAGCACAAGGACTCTGGAGTCACATGGACCCTGGTTTGAATCCTGATAACTCCTATAATGGCTGTGTGACCTTAAGCAAGCCAATCAGCCACTCTGAGCTTCAGCTTCCTGTCTAGAATGTGCGGGGCTGCTCTGGTCCTGCTGCAGGGCCATGCCTCTGATATGTGGTATCAACAAATGCTCAGTTCCACTCAGACCTGGGCTCCCCTCCAACTCCCATTAGAAACCAGCCCATCTGGGATTCCTTCTCCAAAAGAGCGCTGAGCTTGCCAGACCCAGCTGTACCTGAAGCCCACAACAGGAACCACCTGGAGCGGGGTCATATCCCTGTGTCTGAGGATAGGCACCTGGGCTCCAACTGGGCTCCTGGCCTGGGGGTTACTCTCTCCCTCCTGCACCCTATCATATATATATATATATATATATATATATATATATATACATATTTTTTTTTTTTTTTTTTTTTTTGAGATGGATTCTTCCTCTGTTACCCAGGCTGGAGTGCAGTGGTGT